GCAGTTTGAAAATGTAAATAAACTTTTCTATTGATCCTCTCCCAATTAAGAAAATGTGTGGGAAGCTAGAAGCTCCGGATCGCCTTTCTGTTAGATGGCAGGAAAATTCTTTTAACCCCAAACCTAGTCTAATTTACCAAGGCCGAAATGAGTAAGTACGAAGTTTCTATGAAGTGCGCTTTGGACAGGCCCTGCAAGCAATTTCCTCTTTCTGGCGATGCATTGCCATGCACAGTTTCATGCGATGCACAATGCTTCATTTTCATACTTACACTTCCCGCATATCCATGAGCAGTTTTAGTCGAAGATGATCACTGTTGGTTAGTTTCCTCTGGAATAGATCCCATGATCCCTAAAATATTTGTATGTCTCCTTACAAAGTCATATCAAAATCAAGTTAAGCATTACCCTAGCCTGGAAATAAAGTTAGTCTAGCTGTGTGTGCATACGAGTCGGGGTGTCCCCGTGCATACAGCAGTGTATGTGCCATGCTGCCTTCAGGCGGCAGAGGTTTAGAGAGCCAGCTTTTATTTTTCATCTTGCACTGAGCCCATGCCAGTTAAAAATAAGTACCGTTCCTTTTCATTTGTGAAAAGTCGGCATGAAAAATGGGTTGTCAGGACTCCACCAAGCACGTGTAGGGGCTCCTCGGCTCCCCCCGCACAAAGTTTTTCTGATGTTTCTACTCCTGTACTTACGCCAAGGACACCCTTGGGTCCCCTCTGTCTCCAAACTAAAAGTCATCCTGAGGGAGGAAATAGGTGAGGGGCCGATGGTGGTTAGTTTCTTTGAAATAAAAAAAGCCATTTAATGTAAAGAAAGACATTTAAATTAAATACACATGAAATGAAAGTAAGTTATAAAATTCAATCATTTCTACAGAGTAAAAAACAAAAACAAAAACCCCCTCAAAATTTGAGACATCTTAAACGTTACCAAAGTGCCTTATGGCTTTCTTTCTTTACTAGCTGTATAAGTTAGTAAAAATACATTTCTTGGAAAAAAATAAGCTCTGGTAAGTATCTTATAGTTTCTCTCCTTAGTTTTCCTATGTAAAAGAAGCTGGAAAGATTTTAAAAATCTCACTTGTTCAATGAAAAGTAATTAATATGGAAGCCTCCACGTCACAATAGAAAACAAACCGTATCCTCTAAGTGGAGGAGACAGCCAAACCTCTCCTTTTTTATAATATTATAACTAAAAACCATGAATAGGAGAGAAAACATGGGGCTTTTCATACCAGTTTTAGGATGATCAAAAGGGTAATTTTTAAAATAAAAATCATTTTGACAAAAGATGACGTGGGGAACCTTTTATAATAAACTGTTTCTCAAAGGACGTGTGACAATTTTTTAATTGTTGCAAAATGTATAACTTAGAAAAGTATTTGCCTAGGGACCACGGAGAATTTAAGGGAGGGCAAAAGAGATTATATTCATTTTTCACAAAAGTCTACAGAACGGATGTTTTCATTATATAGAATTGTTTGGGGGTAACTATAAATAGGGGGTTGAGGGAATTAGGGGTGAGGCCGTACCATTTTTCCAGAACTTTCCTTAAGGGACCCACCTCTGAAGTTCAGCGCGGATCATATTGCAGCCCAGACTTTCTGCATTATTCTCTGTTGGGATTTCATTCAGCTTGAGGGTTTTCCTCCCTCCCACCTTCCCTCCCCCTTCACCTCCAGGACAGCTGGAAACTGACCAACAAAAACTTTGCCTTCGTTTACAAATTCCTTTTTTATCAGTGGCTTTCTAGACAAAGTACCTTATCATTTTAAATGCTCCGAGACATAGACGCATTGTAAAACCTAGGCGCGAGGGCTCAGCTGACCAGCAGTTATCAACCATTCTTGGATTTGAACAACAACAACAACAACAAAAACCCCCAAGCTATATATTGGGATAGCTGAAGACAGAGGTTTCTATTTCCCGGTTTATTCAGTTGCTGACTCAATAGTTCTGGGTTGGCGCTCTTTTCTGGGCAAGTCCCATCTGTGTGGTCTGGTGGGCAAAAAACTTGGCAGCCTCTTCTTTTATTGTTAGATCCTGTTATTCCTGGTACTTATCTTATGTAAGTAAAATTTCAGAAAAGGACTCTCCATAGAGCATTTAAAAAATAGCAAGTATTCTTTACTTTGGGGCAAAATGGGTCCAGTCCTGGGACGTTCAAGTTATATAGCACAGCCCTCATTCAAACAAGTTTTTAGGACTCTTTCAACCATTGAAAACTAGCCTCATTCAAATATTTTTAGTGTTTGGAGTCTTTTTGTATTTCATTTTGGAGTGGAAAAAAATCTTTAAACTTAAGAAAATACTTATAAATCCTCAGAAAGCAAGTAACTTACAATAAATCACTATAAACCGCACCCCGTTGCTCTTTTACAGTAAACGAATAGCTCTCGGCCACACGAGTGCCTGTTTCTCGCATGTGACACAAATCATTGGCTCCCACCTCGGCTCTCCCGGGTCACACAGCCCAGGTGAGCGACAAGAGGGCCTTACCCGCAGGTCTTCCCCAGAGCAGTCTCTCCCCGGCGGTGTTCCCGAGGGCTCCTTGGTCCCTACTGTGCAAAACCTGTGAAGAAAAACACTGGATATGAGATTCGAAAGAGGAGCCAACAAACGTCCTCTCCTCGGAAACAGCCACTCTTGTCCCCAGCCGTCCAGGGCGTTGCTGTGCCTTGCCCAGTCTAACCAATGTGCAGACTACTGTACAACGGCATTGTCCTGAACAGGTAGTCTGAACACTGGGCCGACGGGGCAGGAGCTCCAGAAGCTTCCATCTGGGCACGTAAAATCCTCTCCCGGTCTTTGGGAACAGTTGCATTCGGCTCTCCCCCCTGGATCCTGCTGCACTGACTGAGCCCCACTCCAGCGCTGTGATTTTCAGCCTTGACGTGGCACATTTGCTGCAGACTGGGGAACTGGCAATGAATTTAGGACCGGGAAAAGGGGGAGGGCTGGGCTGGAGAGTCCATATATGGGATGATGTCACCCTGGGGAGGTTTGGGTATGCGCTGTGCCGCTGGAGAGACCGCTAGAATCGCCTGCTCTCAGACATGGGTCTGTGCGTAAAATGGTACCAGATGTTCTGGTGTAATGTTAAGCAGTCATTTCATCTTCAGGCCAGATTTTTTCCCTCAACTGGGCAGGAAGTGGGCCCCAGTATGGAAAAGCTGTAAAAAAAGAGTCGAGATGTACAGTTCTGCTCTGGCCAACTGAAAGGGAGTCCGTGGAGAAGGACAGCTTTGCTGTCTGATCCGGGCTCGGAAAGTCGTCTGAAGACACAGGGCAGATAAGAAAGTAAACAGAGAGCGAGCGCTGAGAGCCAGGGCTCCTTTGGAAACCTTTTTTTTTTGTGCTTTCCTGTGGTACTTTATTTTCTGGTATTTCACTCGTCAAAAAGGGCAGATAAGTTCATTTTTTCCCCTCTCTCTCTCTCTGTCCCTCCTCCTCCTCGTCTGCTGGATCTGTCAGCGGCTCGCAGGCTGCTCTAGACTTGAACAGTAATTATAGCAACTTCCTGAAAGTGAAGCCCCCATGAAGTCTGGAGAAATGTTCTTTGTCATGGCCTCTCCATGAGTAATTAGTTCCACATGTGGCCTTCCCCGTTTCCCTCGGCGACTCCGGCTGCAGCTCGGAGCGCTGTGCTATACAGCTTGACCTAAAGGAACGTGAAAGTTGGGATTTCCAGCCTCCCCCATGAAATAACCGCTCCGCGCTCCCACCAAATTGGCCCTGGTGGATCCATGCTGTGACGTCCAGGGTTGTTTTTCACTGGTCATTCCGGATTCTCTGTGAACACTTTTGTTTTGTTCTAATGGTGTTCTGCTGCTTAGCTTTATCTCTCCTTAACTAAGTCTGTTGAAATTTGCCAAGTACCGCTTGACCAAAGGTGATAACATATCAGCCCACAGGCATCTCCTTTCCTTCTCCTGTCCTTGCTGTTTTCAATTATATATACTGGTGACTATTCCGAGTATGCAACTCTGACTCTCCCGCCATAGAATTCTGATTCGAGCTAGACTTCCCCAGACGTGACCTTGATTAATTGCCTCTCCTGAGCTCAGAATGTGAGAAAATTCCTAGGTAGCTTCCACGTTTAATTTGAGTAGCCCAACTGAGAAATTTAGCTTCCTCTAAACAATTTACAGCCAAAGCGATTCATTTCTACTGGCCTTCTGTAATGCTTTTTCAGAAGGAGAAAAATCTACCTTTCTAAGTATGCTGGGCTGATTATTTGAAAAAGCTACAAGGGAGAGCTGTCGTAAGGCATTTGCTTTTCCTGAAATGTCTTCCTCTTGAATGAACACATCATGAAAGAGTTTAAAAGTTATTATAAGCCCCCGTCACCTTGGGAGGAAGATGAAATAAGATACAAATGAATGATCCAGCAGTTTGAGGTGGAACAGGGAGATTAGCCTTAGGCACATCATTCGCAGAGAGATTGAAGTCATCCCTGGAAGTCAGAAGGATCACCTCATGTCCCTGCTCTTCAGCTTCCATGCTTGTGTCTTCAGGGCCTAGAGCTTGAGCAAGCCCGGTATGACTCAACTCCTTGTATGGTGCTGGAAAAATGCAAGTGTGACGACACACAACACAGTAGTCCTGTTACAAGTGGATGCCACTTCCATCCTTTTTCAGTGTCTGTATGTTTCTTCACAAGTCATCCGTCATCCTAGAGGAGCCATGGGCCGGAGGGAACCACAGTCCGCCAGGAGCCCCGGCTCCCAGGTGTGGGCTCGATTCTGCCACCATAGCGGAAGCCCTTCCTCTGCCCTCTTCTATTTATACCGATGAAACAGGCCTTGGAAATTTTGGGTAAGGCAGATGAAAGGTGGGGCTGATCAAACTGCTCCATGATTTCATCTTGGTTTACACATCTGTACTTTCTCAGATGGAGGGGGAGAGAGATCCCTTTCTCAAATAGGGGTTTTTATGATGTTTTATTCAAGGGACTAAAACTTAATCCTTCCTGCTTCTGAAGCATTTTCAGTGATTGTTCTACAGAAACAAGTGTAAAGACTGTGTCCCCTTTGCATATGATGCTGTCTCACTGGGCATGCAGTTGATTAGAGTGCTTTAGACTTATCTTTCCTCCAGATAGTTCAACCAGTATTTGTTCTTGCTGCCTACTCATGCACTAGTCACAGTGCCAGGGACTGGGCATATGAAGTTTGAGAAGATACGATTCCTGCCCTCAAAGAGCGTGCACTTACTTACAGTGTCAGGAATGCTCGTCTGTGATCAAGTTCAATCTGAAAAGTCCGCCATGCCTCTGTGGAAAGTTCTTGGCATTTCTTGGGAAATGGCCCTAGGACTTTTCCAGGTGTGTAAAGTTATCAGTGAAAATATCTGCATGTGATGGGCTCTAGAAAGCAAACTTAGACATCACTAAGACTTGACTTTGAGAACTGATGTTATTTAACTTGCTTATTTCAAAAGGTATTGACCAAGCTGATTATTTGAATCAATGGATGGCTTTGGTTGACTACAAAACTTGCTCTCTTTTAAAATGTCTTGGAAAAGAAACTGTTTCAGTTGGTTATTATTCCCAAGCTTGGCAAAATTTTGTGACTTTAGAAATTCTCAAATTGAAACCAGGCAGAGACTTGTTTCTATGTACTTATAAAGAAAAAGGGTTACTAGTGTTTACAATTAGAGTGTTTTGTGACGTCCAGATATGCACACTTCGGATAGTATTTATATTGCTTTAAATGTTTTGTTACAGGATTAGTGCCTGTGCCTTATAAACTTTCAAACAATAGAAAGTATGTAAAGAAAAAGTTCACTTCCCCCCCCCTCCACTTTCCTAACCCTTTCTGTTCTCCCAATAATAACAGTTTGGTGTGATTCTTTTTACCATCTTTGCAAGGGTCTTTTTATAGCTTCTCTACAGATTATAAAATCCACCAGTTTCTTATAATCGTATTATGGGGTAGATACTATTATCATTCTCATTGTATTGATTATGAAAATCGAGGTTCGGAGAGGTTAAGTAATAACTTTGTGGAATTACAGTAAGTGACAGAACTCAGCCTTTTTTTTTTTTTTTTTTAAATTCAGATGCCCGTGATTAGAGGCATATTGTCAACCCACAGACATGATTTCCCCCCTACAGAATTCTTATGGCCATTATAATTCTTGTTATTAATTTGTCAATTATCTGCTGCCTTCTCTTAGTTTTGAACTGAAATGTTATGTATACTATTTATTATTTTACATATTTGGATACTTCTCCTCCC